GATCAAGCGTGTGAGCAACGATGTGGTTTTGAAGAGGATGCAAATAAGGAGGAAGCTTACACTTAACATCAGAGAGAGGCAGCCGAAATTTCTAAGACACGTAATGAGAAAGGACAGCTTGGAGAATCTGATACTCACAGGTCGAATAGAGGGAAAGAGAGACAAGAGAAAGCAACGCATGACATACGTAGCGAGCTTAAGCAAGCGGATGACAGAACATGACATGGGGAATGTAGCAAATGGACAAAACTTATTGAGAGATACAAGGATAGGGGAAGTGGAGAGGCATGATCACCTACGCCCTGAAGGGAGACGGCAAATAAAAAGAAAAAGGATATATAATGTCCGAGATCCACGGAAAGAATGTTATGATTGTAAAACGAGTTGATCCGAATTGTAGACAAGAGGATGATAGGTAATGATCGACCCTTTAAGAGGTGAAGATTTTAGCGTTCAGGAAAGTAAATACGTCGATTTCTGAGCCAAACCATGTGTAGTTCTGCAAAGAAAGCTGGCTGGATTTTCTTTTTACTTGGGAAACAGTTAAAATGAGAATAACTCGATTGCCTGGAAGTGAGCATTGTCCTCTATCTGTAAAGTTCAGAACTGGTAAAACTAAAGAATGGGAAGCAAAGCTTATGGAATTTTTTTGTCATTTATGCGCAAAAAGAGTCTCCAACGACATTGAAATTTGAATTATCAAATTTCCATTTCTTGATCAATGGCAGCCCGCCTAGAAATAAGACGCATCAGACGATCCTGTTGAGAAAAGCTGAAAGTCAAATCATTGTAAATCATATTTTAATTTGTCGATTGACAATTGACAAACTGGAACGATTATATTGAATGAATATCTAAAACGTTTAGTTTACTGTGTCATGCTGAACAATTTTTCTTGCCCGAATATATTTTGCAAATGTACAAGTCTACCGTGCATTAAAGATTGTTGCCAAATCTAGATCATCACTTCTTTTATTTGTTTAGAGATTTTAATAACGATCAAAAAGAATCTGCAATTTTATCTGTCTTGACCTGGCATCTAGTTTTCAGTCACGTTTCCACAATCGGAATATACATTCCCTTATATTATTCGTTCTTCGACAAATATTTTCATGGTAATTTTGCTGATAAGCATTGTAATTAAACTCACCGGCGGTCATGACCGTTTATGTTTTCTTTTTCTGTTTTTCGTAGCCGTAAATTTGATGCTAACAAATTTTTCTCCTGTACTTTGCGCTTGAGGAACTATTTTTCATCTTCCTATCTTTCAGTCAAGTTTGAACTTCAAAATGTTACATGCAATATTAATAGTTATCTTCTGTCTTCATAAATTCTTTTTTTTTAATGATTATATCTCCTTAATAATGTTTCTCTTTTTTCTCCTATTCTTTCACACTCAGTAACCGCTTAAGCCTATGTAGCAGTATTGCCTTGCTTGGGGTGAAATGATTAAAAACAATGTTTCTAAGGCAACAAACAGACATTTCAACAGTCGCACTACAGGCGTAAATACACGCCGTTTTGCTGCCGGTGGGACAGTTGGAATAAACGAATTGATATTGTTATTAATGATATTATTATTTCATTAAAAAGTCAATATAGTTATAACTGATGTATATGTATGTTTACAAATCACAAAAACGCATACTTTAAATGATAAGATGCTTCTTAAATAAAGTCAACTGAAATTAATATAAATAGAAAATATATTATACAAATTGTTGTTTCTTTTACCTAATGTTTTATAAAATAAATGTTGGTTGATTTTATTTAGCGGAATATCAACACCTTTATGGGTCATCTAATGCCGAAATCTAGATAATTTGAACACGATTTTAATCCTTCAACTAAATATATTCTGAACGCAATTTTATGCCTTCAGTTACAGATAAAAATTATTGTTGGTCATTTTGATTTAAAAATGTATTGTTGGTTATTCTCCTATGAAATGTATTGATGGTTATTCTCCTATAAAATGTATTGATGGCTATTCTCCTATAAAATGTATTGATGGTTATTCTCCTATAATATATATTGTTGGTTATTCTCCTATAAAATGTATTGATGGTTATTCTCCTATGAAATGTATTGGTGGCTATTCTCCTATAATATGTATTGATGGTTATTCGCCTATAAAATGTACTGATGGTCAATTTGCTTAAATTTGCTTAAAAAATATATTGCTGACTATTTTACTATAAATTGAGATTGTTGGTAATTTTACTATATAAAAATGTATTGCTGGTATTTTTACTATAAAAATGTATTTGTATTGTATTATCGTGCTTTTTGTTTGAGCGTTCATTATTTCCTCATACACGGGCCTCGAAATGTGGCCCAAGCATGTGCTGCCACCCAGATTAGGAGGGACTAGTGAACAACAGTAATTAAAAGGTTGTTCTACGTTTCTCAAAACCTAAAATCTCTCAGGACGATATAAATAAAAAAAAATTAAATATTACTAATTTGAAAGGAGAGGTCCAAAATAAATATAAAATAGCAACAAGATTAATTAAAATAAAAATTACATAAGAAATTCATTGTGTTATCAGTAGGCATTCCTTTCAAATTAGTACCTAATCATAATAGTCAAACAAACTAATACAAATTAATTTCTGGCCACCTGTCCGAAATATAATGGGCGCCTGACGGAGGGCATAGAATTCTTGCTATTCGACCAAGAGATCCATGTTCGAATCTCACCGTGATCGATTTGTCAGTAAGGTGACTTTTTCATACAATCGGATCGGGGAAGATGCTTGAAAGCCATGCCACAAGTTGCCCCAGCCTTGTGAGTGAAACTGGCTATGTGAAACTATTTGGAAGCCGTCGATGTTTGCGCTTGCACTCGGTCGCAAGTCATCGTGATCGAGGGTTTCAGCGTACTGGCCTTGTTCAGACGGTTGACCACGCCAGATAATCCGCAATCTCCCAAAAACTGTAAGTGATATCTTTTCAGAAAAGATACATTATATTGCACAGGCGACCCCTGCAGATGTTGAAATAACACTGATCAGGTGTCTGCAAAAGGGATTTTCTAGCCTTCCTAGTAGATATCTACACTTGGATACGAACCACAAGCTATTATGTATAATACAAGGTAACCAAAAAAGTTCTGTCCGTTTTTAAAGGAAAAAATGAAAACGCTTTACAGTATGTGTAACTTATATTTAGTCTTCGAAGTAATCGCCATCAGCATCCAGCACCTTCTGTCAACGTGTCTCCAGCTGTTCAATGCCATTGCGGTAGAACTCGGGGGGTTTTGACGCAAGGAAGTCTGTGAGGGCTTTGCGCAAGTCTGCTTCATTGGTGAAGGATTTCCCACGAAGATGATTATCCAGGGAGTGGAAGAGGTTGTAATCGGATGGCGCAAGGTCAGGTGAATAAGGTGGATGGCACAAAGTCTCCCACCCAAGTTGCTGTATAGTATCCCTGACCACTCGCGCGACATGCGGCCTGGCGGTGTCATGGAAGAAAAGCACACCTTTGCGATTCACCAGTGCTGGCTTCTTCTGGCGCAATGCCTGTTTCACACGTTTCAATTGCCGTGAGTATAGGTCTCCAGTGACGGTTTGGCTCGTTGGTAGCAGTTCATAATGAACCACTTAACGACCTGTCCACCAGACACAAAGCATAATCTTGTGTGGGTGCATAGGTGGTCTTGTGGTGTGAGGTTCAGCATTCTGGGGAGACAACCAATGTCTGGAACGCTTGGGAGTTTCGTAAATAACCCACTTTTCATCACTGGTAAGTACTCGATTGAATAAGAATGCGGTATGGTGGCGAGAAAGCAGCGATACGCAGGTTGTCACTCGTCATCCCTTGTGGACCTCCAACAGCATTTGCGGAACCCACTTACTCAGTTTGTACGACTTACCTAGGCGGTGCAGGTGAAGTCTAACTGTTTCATCAGAAAGGTTGAACTGTCTTGCAAGTTCACCACACGTTAGACAACTGTCCTCTTCAATGGTTGCCTTCAGGACTCCATCATTCAAGACCTGTGGTCGTCCACTGCGAGGCACACCATGGGGAGACAAATCTCCCGACTTGAATTTTCGAAACCAACGCCTTGCAGTACGATCATCCAAAGCACTATCCCCAAACGCTTGACATATGCGGCGACTTGATGCAGCTGCTGATAAGCCCATTTTGAAGTCGTAAAGCAAACAGCCCCGAATGAGATCTCTAGACACTTCCATCCTTCTCACAGCTTTCCGGCTTATAAATGATGGCCAGACACGGTGCTAGTGTTTTTTATAACGTCTGATGTTCCTACTTCCGGCTGTCGGAATTTGAAAACAATTACTACACGTATTTCGTATATATTTCAACTTCATTCAATGACTAATAAAAAAAACGGACAGAACTTTTTTGGTTACCATTTACTATCACATCATATTTAAAGAAACACCATACCAGGATTAATTACCTGAGGGCATAATCTTAATATTAAAAGGAAAACTTCAACTAATAAATACAAGGTATTAAATTAAACCTAAGTGAAACGGCGATACAGAAAACAGAATGTAAGTTTGTCATCAAATGAAAAACAAGCCCTAGATTCGAACTACGTATTGGAGATGTCACAGTCACTAACGAAAGAAGTTTAAATATCTGGGAAGTCTTTTAACAGACGGAAAAAAAACATGACAGTGTGAAAAGTAAAAGATGCCTTCCATGATTGAAAAAAATTCTAGAAAAGAAACTGATAGCAAAGAATGTAATTTTATATATCAGCTTGTGAAGCCGTGCCGTCAAAAATGAATAGATTATGAATAATATATATTACAAAAGTAATTTTCGTTTAATCCACTGACAATTTTGTAATTTAAAATAGTTGTTAACGTTAATAATAGAGCAGTGTACAATTTATAAACACCTGAGGAAATATATCAGTATGTTATCCTCATTGTGGGTGGGCGTTTGTACGCATGCTTTCTTGAAAATCCTTGCTTTTCAGGGTCAAATCTTCTGAGAAATTTGAACACCATTGTTACTTGATGCCACAATCCAAGACACTTCGAAGAAAAGTAACTTTATGTGAATTTCAGTTTTGCCTGATATTTATCTCCTCTCTCTTTCCCTTTCTCTCTTTCTTTCTTTCTTTAATTCTTTCTTTCTTTGCAGATGTGTATCTGTTTCTTTTCATGGCTTCTTTCCACCATTCTTTTTGCATTCATCGTAGTTTGCAGAGAGAGGGAAAGAAAGGGTTTACTTCCTAGTTTTTCAGCGCGGTAGTTTTGATTTTTTTTTTTTTTCGTGAATGGGAACATGAACTCTCTGCGTCACATGCCAAAATTTTGCACAGTGCATCTCAATTGTTACACACACACAATATATATATATATATATATATATATATATATATATATATATATATATATAGTTAATTCTACGATAACGACCCCGATACGAACAAATAGACACTGTACACAACTTTCGATATATTCACTAGATTCCTTAATAGATAGAATACAGGTCGAAAGCATTATCACCTGTCACATGAATTGCCGGTCATGTCCACATATTTTTAAACAAATATGTTTAGTTTCATAAAGCTTCCAGGGCCCTTCAAATGAATCCTGTTTTTTCTAAACCCTAGAAAAATGTCCTTCGGCTTCTTACTTTCCTGCTTTTGTAGTTCCAGTCTTCAAGAACTGTGGCAAACTGTCTGATCCTTGTAACTATCAGCCTTACATTGATCTACTGTTAGATCTGTTGCTAGGAAAATTGGTCAGCAGGTAATATTTATAAGTCTACCATTCGTCCATCCATGGAATATTACTCCCGCATCTGTTCCTGTGCTTCTGCTATGTATTTAGAGATTCTTGATAGAGTCGAGATACGAATCTGCAAACTTATTGATCAGGTCCTGGTATCTCGGTTTCATATTCTCATTGCAATATCGTAGCTTCCATGTGCCTCTTCTCTAAATACTTTCATGGTAATTTCTCTGAAGAACTTTCCTCTGTGGTACCTTGACTTCATGACTTTAAGCGTAGTACTTATATGGTGGCAAGATCGCATCATTTTACAGTTTAAATGACTACATAAAGTCATGAGTTTTATCTTAACAGTTTCTTCTCTGGCACTTTTTGCATGTGAAACACACTTTCGGCTTCCTGTTTTGCAGTCAACTTTGATCTTCAAATCATTAAATGCGATTTCAATCATTATCTTCTGTTTTCTTAATTACAGTTCTTTCGTTGTTCTCTCATCCTTAATAATGTGTTCTCTTACTCCACGCAATCAGTAAACTCCTTGCATCTGAGTGACTTTATTGACTTTTTTAGGGCGAAATGATTCAAAAACTTGGATTAATTTCATTGTTTCCGAGTGCTATTATTCCAATCATCGTTACCGAGAGTTTGAGCGTACTGGCCTTGTTCAGACAGCTGACCACGCCAGATCACCCGCTGTCTCCCAAAAAATTAAGGTCTGTTCAGGATATGTGCATTATAATGCACAGGCGGTTTCTGTGGATGTTGAAGTACGACGTATGTGCCTGATCAGGTGTCTGGAAAAGGGATTGTCTAGCCGTCCTAGTAGATATCTACACTCATGTACGAGACGAAAACTATTATATATAAATGTAAAGAAACACCATTCCATGATTACTTATCTGTGGACATAATCTTAATATTAGAAATGGCGATGACACTGTTCATAGCAGGCGCCTAGGAAAAAATGCAACTAATCCAACACAACGTAGTAAATTAAACATTCTTCATCTTTGAGGAGATTGTCCAGAATTCGCTGCCATACATGATAGATATCACATAACACTTCAGTACTCTTTGCTTCTTTTGCTTCAAGACACGTCTTCATCTTTGAGGCGATTGTTCAACTTTCGATGCCATACAGGAGGATAGATATCACGTGTCAGTTGTGTAATCTTTTCTTTGTTTCTAACGAATTAATACCCTGCTTATGTTTTAGAATGCATCTTAGGCCATCCTTATACGGCTCTGGATCTCAGTGTCGCACTTTCCATCATCTGTTAGAAGACTTCCCAGATATTTAAATTTCTAAACAAAAAAATATGGTCGTTGCGTGCACACCACTCACACAACATCCAAACTCAACTAGAGTGGGGAACGCACCCACAGTTTTATTCCCCTCGGGCAAAACTGAGATGGAAAAAATATGGTCGTTGCGTGCATACTATGCATACACCAACGAAAGTCAATTGGAGAGGGGAACGCACCCAGACCTTTATTGCCCCAGACAAGACTGAAATAGGAAAAAATATTGTCCGTACGTGGACACACCTATGAAACTCACCTGGAGGACGGAAATTCGTAATTTAGAAAACTCTTAAATATCTTTTATATGACCATGACCATTTTTTTCTTTCCGGTGTGCATTCGCGACAAACTCATTTTAAGAGCTCCTTATTTATATATATGTATCTATCTTTATATATATATATATATATATATATATATATATATATATATATATATATATATATGTGTGTGTGTGTGTGTGTGTGTGTGTGTGTGAGAGTGTGTGTGTGCAGGTATGTAGAAAAATAGGAAAGAACACGTTAAGTAAATAATCCAGAGTTCTTTAGTATTTTTGTTTTTATTTAAAAAAAAAACAGTGCTCCATAAAGAAGTAGAGCTTAGATTATAATTATTTTTAAAAAATATGATTCCTTCGCTACAAAAGCGTTCTCATGTTTCTCAAAAACGAGAGCCGAAACCATCAATATAATTGTTAAAATTAAATTGAATTAAAGTAACAAGCCCTATTTCATGCTCAAGCGAAAATTCAGTAATAACCAATTTTGCAATTTACGTATCGTTATAAAAAGCGTGTTCATTCGTTACTATGGAAACGGCTGGGACGACCATATAAAGGGTTAAAAAGCTTAACCCGATCATTACAGGGAAAAACCCTTTATGAAGTCGTCAAAAAAACAAATTGTAGCTCAGTGCAATGCATTTATATATGGAACAGCCCGTTGAAAATAAATAAACAAATAAAATAAACAAAATTATCCAGACACTTAACAACACACGATGGTGCCAAAATCTATCTTCCTCTGTGAATGAATAGACGACGAGCGTACAAGAAAGACATAATTCGCTTTGAAATAGACACCCCCACCCTACCTCAGCTTGACCTCTCCCTGAAGGTGACTGATATGTGGATAAAATACATATTCTGTATGCTTGGTAATGTGTTTAGCCTAATGGACAAAAGCTAGAAATTGTTTCTCGCATTGCTGAGGTCCAATTCCAATTGAGGTCGTTATATTCGCTTACACACCTATAGAGAAAGTATTAATCCACCTTTGTTTTTCCCCAGTTACTGATTAATTAGTAAGACCTGTATAACTAAAACCATTTCAATAAATAAATAAATAAAATAATATACAACATATTTATATTTCGGCATTAAATAACCCGTAGAGGTTGATATGCCGCTGAACAAAAAACAAAAGCAGACTAAGGAATTTATTTTATTACCGAATCTGAGTAACTTGCTTCGTAAATTCTCGCTATGCAACAAGTCTTCTGTGAAGACTAACAGAATGTATATAAAGGCAGAGCAAATTAATTGTTCATTCTTTTATGTTCTCTTTTTGGTTCCAGCGATTGCTCACTTTCGAAATGGGGCTTGAGTTTAGAATGAATGATTTATAAACAGAAGAAACTGAATAGGTTTTAAAATTCAATGTAGGATCCTTCGATAAAGAAAATAAATCACATTATCTAAGAATATAGCAAACATGTAAATTTTATTTCCGAGCCAGATTGCTATGAATACAGTGTTTCAATATTTCTCTGACTGTTATCGCATAAACAATAGAGAATAAAATATATTTTTCTTTTTTTTTTTTCGGATAACATTCAAGAAAATTTGATGTACAGTCCGTATTGAAAACTGTAAAGTTTACAAAATATTATTAAAAACATATTTCATTTTTCGTTTTCATTCTTACATTTGTCTGATTTATTTGGTACTATCTTCCTGGTTTATTCTATATTCAGTTACTGCAAGTAAATTTAAATATATTTCAGCGCCATTTTGTATTGATATAATCTTTTTCTTATTACTGATATTTCTAAAAATATGATAGCTGAGATTAGCTGAGATATTGCTATTATTATGAGTATGAAAAAGTTAATAACATTAAATATAACATTAAACATGTTTTTAATATGGTATGCCGTCTTTATTTTGCTCAATATATAAGTTTGAGGAGTTTTGTGCCCAAACTTCAAACAACTTCACGCATTTCGACTTTCTTTAATTATGCATAAAGTCATAAAAACGTGGAAATTTTAAGATTTGAGGAATCATATTCAGCGCATAAAAGAACATTGACATTACGTCGTGATATGTCCCACTCCATATGTGCAGATTTTACTCTCAATGATGCTTCCGTCGGAGAACGTCTACTGAGATTAAAGTTCACTGCAGACCTCAAATGGAACTCGTTTACCCGTACCCGTCTAGATGTTAACGCAATTGCCAGTAATTAAATTTTGCCCTAGCTATAAATATTTTCACACAGAAGAAACATTACAAATGTTTAAAATAGTTACATTTCTTTGTTCCAGCAGTTCACAGCGAAGAGCCGCCATACCAGGGAGACGTTGACAAATTGTCCTCATTCCCTTTGTCTTCATTTTACTGCAACTATGCACAGTAGAACGGGGACGAGAGTATAAACTGGCGTGACCTCCATGGACAAGGGCCAATAAGCCCGAAACTGTGGTCACGATGAGTTGTTACTTTTTTTTAGTACAAACGTCGAGAGTTTCTAAACAGTTTGGTCTAAACAGCTTTAGTCACAATCTTGGATCAAACTGTTGTATGCTTTTCGGATAATTAACGTGGATCTATCTATCTATATATTTATCTATCTATCTATCTATCTAAACCCTTGCGCAAATTAATTGAAACAAAACGAATAATTTCGTTATTATTTACTTATTTTGGTAATAATTCTTATGCCTATTTCACGAATTTGTTCCTTGCAGAGTGACCACAGATTCTCGATTAGATTTAAATAAGGAGAGATTCCGAGCCAGTCGATAGTACTTTGATTTGCTCAATTGTAAGGTTTGCCATTGTTTTCGTGTTACAATTTTCAAAAACTTCCTTGGAGTTACGTCCATTGCAGAAAATGACTGAAGGACAACTAATAGACAGTTGAGACAATAGTATCTGAGTGTGATGAAAAACTGATGCTATCACGGATGA